TAAAAGGGCACATTAGTTTAACAAGATAATGTTGAAAAATAAAAAAGGTAAGCAAATCAATGCATGATGTTAACATTAAATAATATATAAACAAAAAATATTTAAAGTATAAGCAATGGAAATACAAATTAAAAGTATCAAAATTTTTACAATATCAATCCATAAAATTAATATAATTCTAGATAAGAAATTAACAAATCAAAAATAGGATTAGCCATAACCAATCCTTACAAAACGAATAAACTGTTTACGTAAAATGTAAGGCAGGGTATTTATAGAAATCTCTGCCAAATATGCATTCTCCAGGAAGCACACAGTAATATTTTTGTTTTCATTTGTTTGTTTGTTTTTTCATAATTTTATTTTTAGGTCAATGGAATTTTTCCACATATCGTATGACCAACATGAAAAAACAAGGATTATTAATGATTGAAGCTTAGTAAGTTTCTCCAATTTAGATCAATTTTATATCAGTTCAGGTCAGGCTTTGACAGGGAACTCTCTTGTTTGCCAAAATAGAATTGTAGTTCTATGGAATATTTTCGGATAATTTGTATTTCTACTAGTAAATGACCACATGCACTCTGACTCCAAGGTTATAATTTAACTGAAGATTATCTTAATTGCAGTTGATGATAAATCAAATCAATGTGAACTTATCAATGAAATATTTTGATCAAATTCTAATCCTGAATAACTATACTTTAAAGAGAATTTAGAATTTACTCTTTTTGGAATTACCAAAATATCTTGCAAGTTCTCGGTTGTGCATGTGGAAGTATTTCACTCTGCCCTCTCCATTCACTATTACTAAACAGATGTGCTACTTCAAATATTGTTGAAGGTAGGATTGCAGAGCTTTCTTTTTAAACCACTAGTTATTTTGAAAATTCTTTTGTCTTCAGGCTGTGAATTATATTTTCTTCATTTTTTTCAGATGAAATTCCAAAGCCTACCTCTTCTCTTCTCAAACTAGAGGTATGCGATTTTCATTTCTATGCCTTCATTTGTTTACCAAAATCAGTTTGAAATAGGTTGTTGTTTTCTGTCTCCTTATTTAATCTTTTTTCCCTTCACGCGTACGCCTGGTATATTCCCTCACTGCACGTCAGCAGTGCTCTGGGTGGAAGGCGTAGTAAACGCAGGGGGCCAGTGCGTCTTGTCTCCAGCAGCTGGGTTAACTACCTGTGAACTGATCCCTTGTTTCAGCGTGGAAGGTGCTAGGAGAGCATGGAGCATGGTCTGTGACGCCCGAGCAGAGGGGGTGCACAGGGAGAGTGAGTCCAGGAGTGACCAGAGAGGGAAGGGCCGGCAGGCGCTCAACACTGAGTCCCAGACGCCTTAGAAGACAGGCAGCAGGGTCCCGGTACCTGACGGTACACAGAGCAGAACTCCAGCCACTAAGAGTGTGCCCAGAAAGGTCCATTTCTGAAGGGACTAGAAACCGGAGAACTTTGAAAAACAACACTGCTTTGTAGTCCCTTTATTCTATGCCTAATGTACCTGGCACGTAATCCTGCCACTAATTTTTTTAAAATTGACTTGCTGATGCTCTTATGTCACTGCAGTCTATTGGTGTTCCGTAATTTAACAAACCTGTGAACATTTGACTTATAGAATACTAGACCATACATAAACAACTACTTCTATGCATGGTCGTCAAAGAGCATTTGACTATAACACTTCAGTAAGAATAGACAAGTCAGAAATATGAACAACATGAGGTTAGTATATGACATATGTTTATATTGCACCCCTTTTCCAATGTCACCCCACCAATGAGACGCTGGGGCCAGGGAACCTCCTTCTGAGTCAGCTGCACAGGCCAGCACAGGGCTCCTCCGGGTCTATGCCAAGCCCTTGCGGGAATCCAGGAAGGGAGCCTCCCCCGGGGTGACGCCCCACAGGGGGCCCGTCGCTCAGCAAGCGGAGTGTGGGCGAATCTAAGCATCTTCTCTCCTCCAGACCAGGCATCTCTGTCGAGGGGACACCCGGTGTGATCACATGTAAGGGGCGCGGGAGCTGGCTGTGCGGTCCTCTCCTGCCTTTGCCCTGTGGCCCTCAAACACGCCTGAGCTCTTCTGAGCAAACAAGCCCCTCCTGGGGGCTCCGTCCCCTCAAGATGGAACATGAATCCCACATGTCGGAACCCCTGTCACAGCCCCAGCTGATTGTAAAGCTCGAACTCCAGTGACGAACAGAATGTGTGAAGGACAGACACACAGGAATACGGTGACAAACAAAAATGAAGATAAGGGTGGCAGGGAGGGGAACGAATAAGCTCGGCTGGGAAGGGGTGCGAGGGCTGGGCCAAAACTCAGGAAGTGGAAGGGACGCAGCCCGACCAGGTGTGGTTCTGGTCCACAGAGAAAGCTCGGGAAACACTTCCTGAGTGCCAGGGTGCCCAAGGCCGAATGAACATCCGATGACCTGCAATGGAAAGTTTTGCACGTACTTTTCTAATCTCTAAAGCTCCACTCTGGGGAAAAGGAAACTGAGAATCAGCAAGTTTTAATTATTATGCCTAAGATCACAAAACTCAGAGCCTGAACTCAGGCGTATGCCTGTTCGGCTTCAAAGCCAGACCTGTTTTCATATGCTCCGTCACCTCTTCGGAGCTGTAGGAGCCCCTAAACTCCAGGGTGTCTGGAAATTACCTTTGCTGGCCTTCTGACCCCAGCGGGTGTTATGCACAGAGTCTGTCCTGCCTTTGCTAAACAACTGCATTAAAGTTATAGAAGGGAATATGGTAACTTGGTAAACAGACATCGAGTTCAATTACAGAAACCACCAATGTGCACACAGAGCTCTAGTAGATCAGTGAGCAGACGATGAGATATAAAAACATCATTACAGGTAGAAGTAGGGAGGGGAGAAGTCAAGGCCTGGTAGAAGACGGGGATGACTGGTTATAGCGACAGAAAAGTCCCGGGAAAAGGACGACCTCGGGCACCCTCCCACTTAGAAGATAAGCAGAGCGCTGCTGGGTAACGTGCAGCTCGGAGGCCGTCACAGAGGTGAGGAGTCTTACGGCCTGAACTACGCAGCGTAGCTCGGGCCCAGGTATACACAAGGTCAGTTACGGACGGCCAGGCAACAGGACGGCCTTCTTCGTCTCCACTGCTTCGCTGTTAATCACCTCCAGTCAGCTGTGCACTTCTAGCAAAGGACTCTTCTGTGCATCACCCTGTCATTTAAAGGCCTCAGTGAATTACTGCTACCAACGGGATAGAGTCCAACTCTGAAGGCCATCCAGAACCTCACTGCACACACAAACATGTCCTTTTAATAAGCTCTCCCTTTTGCTGAAACTAGTTTGAACCTATACTTGCAATCAAGAGCGTCCTGATTCTATGCCTTGCTGCAGATAGACCCAACCGCCTCGGCCCTCGGCCCCCCTCACCGCAGAGGCCCACGCAGAAAATGAAGTGCATCCATGGGTTCCATGAGTCCTCACCCCCAAACCTACAAATATACTTGGATCTGCACCTACAATCCTGTCCAGTTACAAGGAAACAGTAACTTTTCCTGTGCTTCTGCTTGTCCCGTGCCCCAACCCCCACATTCTGAGTTCCAGCTCTCCCTGACTTCTAAGGGGCCTGAAATTCTAAGGTTTTCCCTCTTTCTTTGATGTCTTCAATCTCTGTCTATGGCGACCACCTGCCAAGCTCAGGAGTATCCCCCATATTGAAGACGTTAGGAACAGGAACTCCTGGATTCCTACAGTCACCTCCTAATCGGTCCCCCTAATTCCATAGTACAATCCACTCTCCTCACAGAGCCATTTCAAATGTTACCCTGTCTAGTCCACATTTTAAAACCTCTGATGCATTCCCAGCTCCTTGCCATGACAGGGATGGTGTGTGAGACCTAGCATGCCCACTTCGGCCCCTCTTTATAACTTTCTCCCTCCCCACTTCCTCGCTGCAATGAACATGCCGAACATGATTACTGGACTGATCTTAGCGCTGGCCTTTTCCTGAGGTCCCTCCCTGCCATACTCTAGATTCACGTGGTGACTGCATGTTTGTCATTTCATCAGCTAGGACGTGGCTTATTGCCTCCTGAGCTTTGTCCGAACTGCCCTCTCCCCTCCGCTTAGTGGTCACTTTACTGGGGTGCCTTCTCTCATCGCCCCAAGCCTGGTTTGGCTCTCTTCCTGGATGTACTCACAGGCCCCTCTACTTCCTGTGCCACGGCCCCCTCGCTGAATTCTAACTGCTTCTTTCTGAAAACGGGAAGAACCGGCAGCCAGAACTCACCGCTTAACAAGTGTTCAACAGATGTTTCAATAAATCAGCAAAGGCTGACATAAAAATCTCACTGTTTATCCTTAATAATTCATTGTATGTAAGCGTGAATATATGTTTAGCAAAACAGTTCCAACTCTCATTATCAAGTATGGATTTAATTATTCTTAACAAATTTTTAAGTCATTTTCTCACAGTTCTAAGTTTAAAATGACACTCATTGTTCCGTAAAGCTTTGGCTGGGTAACTCTACCTAAACGTGAAAATCAGAGCCACAAGGCCCAGAGCAAGGGGCACAGGCAGGCAGCACCCTCTGAGAATTGCCGTTAGGGGCCTTATTTTTAATTTGGCTGTATACTACTTTATTGGGCTAATCACGAAGAGGCACAATGCTTCTTCCATATACTGAGTGATCTTTCTAAAAACAAGAATTATTCAAAAAGAGAAATCTTGGGAGTTGACAAATTCATTGTCATGGCCCGAAAGGGCAAGATGTTTTGCAGAAAATTATATTTTTTAGATGTCACCATTTGACAAATAGGTGGGCCAGATGCATTCTAAAGTCACAACTCTAAGCACCTACATTCTCATAAAATATTTATGAGATGAGTTCTCAACCCCCACACCACTGACTGTGTTTCATTAACTTCAAGGTTTAGAACTCTGTGTGCTACTTAAAGATTGACGCTAGCTTACAATTATTTTAAATCACTAAATTATACTACGTGTATGTTGTATTTCATTAGAAAAATGAGCAGGCGGGCTTGCTGGATTTGCAGGATGTGCAGAGATGTGTCTGAGAGACCCCTTTCAAAGTAAGTAGCATTTAAGTTTTATGGCCTTCTTAAAGCATTTCACTGCAGGGTAAATAGGGGTCCATGCATTCCGCTGTTGTCTTCATACATTTTGTTCAGACAGTAAAATTTGCATTTGTACATGAGTAATCCCCTCCCTGAAGAGCAATCATTTATTACACTGAGGTTTCATTTTTATTATTCATGGTTTACCCTGAGAATTCAGCAAGTCAAATGTTTTTAGAGAGCTTATTATAAATGAACATTCTGAGGTTTATATTTTAAAAGTTTTATATCCTCTACCTTAAAATGAGATTCTTTTATCCAAAATCCTGGTTCAAAACTTCCATCTGTAAAGTGACAGAAATCTTCATCCCCCGTTGGGAGAGGTAAGACAGGGGTGAAACCAAATGCCTACCAGGCTCCCAGTCCATTTGACACTGGAGCCACGTGGGGGGAACAGTGCCTGAGTCAAAGTGGCCTGTGGAAAGCCTCAGAACGGTCACAACCCGTCTGATCGGATCTGCTCAGCTGAGAAATGCCCAGGCTGAGGGTCCCTGCCAGTAACCGCGAGCGCCCGACCCGGCCCATCGCAGGCGGCAGCCCCGACCCGCCTCCCTGCCTGTGCGGAGCTGCCCTGAAGCGGCCCGACGCCCCACAACACTCACGTGTGTGGGCAGAGGAGCAGTGAGCCCCAAAGCTCAGCACCTCCCAGGGCCAGGTGTGGCTGCTGCGCTGACAGGCACGGTCAGGGCGCAGCGGGCCGGGGCGGGGCCGGGGGCGCCTCGTCCTCCCCTGCTGAGCTCAGGCCCCGCCGAGTGTCCCCGGCAGGACTCCCACGTCGTCTGCGGCCGGCCGTGCAGAACAGCAGGGCCGGGAAAGCCCAGGAACCCAGCTTCACATTCCCGGCAGGTGGCTGGATAACGGTCCGTCGACTGATGCTTTATATTCAGGATCTCGTTTAGTTTTCTCAGAAAGATTTGATCGTCCCCATTGTACAGACAACAAAACTGAGACTCCGAGACGCTGAGCAAGACCCAAGCAACAAAGCCCAACCAGGGCTGTCAGTTCCCAAACACTCCAGTCCTCCCAGCACGACGTCTGAGAACGTCCCCTCCTTGCTCGGTTCCCCTGCCTATGATAAAGAGGGGAACTTGTACTCAAAAATCGGGCTGGGTGAAGGGACAAAGGTGTGTAGAATGATTCTGATTAGAGCACCCGGAGAGCCATGGGACAATGTAAAACTTGTGAAATACTAAGAAAAAATTACAAGCAAAAATGGGGTTAAACCAAAAAAAAAGTGTAAATATCACAATTTTACCCCCAACCATGATCACTGCAACTATTCTCTCTCTCCATAAATCTGATGAATCTTAGAGGCAAAAGCATTCTCTCTTAGACTATGAGCAACGCCAAATTCTAAGCTAACCGGAGAGAGCAACGGCGCCCTGGCTCAGGCTGCAGGCCATATTCCTCCCTACGTGCCGGGAATGGGTGGAACGGAGAGAGAAGCAACACATGTCGCAAACACTGTCCCCGCCACCAGACTGGAAAGCTTGCTTTAGGCTGCGGCTTCTCAAGTTCTATTAAGGGAAAAGAATAGTGAGTCAGACCCCACTTTGTGGAACTGTGTCTTGAGAGCGCCCTTCAGCAGTACGCTGTTAAGCCTCAGCGCTGATGCAAGCGGTCCATCTAAATCTGGCCAGAGCCGTCTGAGTTTTCAGGAAACAAAACATGTTTGACCTTTTCATGACTCCCAATATTTTTTTTTTCTTCGTATTCCAGGTTACATTTTAACCTCTTTAGCTAATCTTCTCTCATTGTGTCAGGTACCTACTAATGCCGATGGCTGCTCACTTAACACTAATGACTGGGCTACTGTACCAGAACCAGCCAGGGGCAGGGGCAGCTTGTATCTACAGCTGTCTCACGATAGGCAGTTGCTAAAAACAGGAAACTTAAGAACATATCATAAACTGAACGGCAATGACCAAACTAAGTGTTTCAAGAGGGAAAGTAAGATGATTTATACGTAAGTATTGCCAATTCACAATGCTTACAAAGTGAACAGAAATAAAGCCTCAAAGTCAGTATTTTTCACAGACATTTTCTAAATGATACTTTTCTTTTAAAACTGTTTAGGTCAAGTATAATTTGACACTTTGTTCACAGTAATAACATTAAAACCCTCCATGTGAAAAAATTGTAGCAAATAATAGAAAACATCTATACATAAGAGATTATTACATGAATGCATGCAAATAGGGTGTGTGGATAAGTCTTAAGATTCTAGCAGACAGGTGGGCAAACACATCATTGCACACAATGCACGATGACGCTTTAAGAGCAGTTTGGGAATTTGTGCGGAGACCCTTAGCCATGTGCACCTTCTGACTCACTTTGACTCCACTTCTGCTCACCTTCGGAGGAATCGCTCTAACTACAGCCCATGTCAGGTTTCAACGGTGAAAAATGAGAAATAATCAAGCTGCTCCTTGAGAACAGTTATGTAAATTCTGAAATGCCCCCTTGTAGAATATATATAGTCAGGGAATAGCAATGATGATAAAATTATAACTATACATTACAACACTATAAGTGGTTATTAAGACAATTGTGAAGACATAAAAAGTTCATCATAATATACACATACGCACACACAAAGTATGCACACACACACACACACACACAGGCAGAGTGTGATTACTTCTTGGATAAAAATGTATACAAACACACACACAACACAAAGACTAAAAAATAAATCACAATATCGATAGTGGTAATTTGGGAAAAGGGAAATTGTAAGAATAATTCTTTATTGTTTTAAAAATGTATTTGATCATATTTTCAAGACTATAGTACTTCTAAAATGGTAAGCATGTAGGAAATAAAAATAAAATATAAAGGATCACAGGAAAGTAAATGTCCATTCAAAACCTCACACAAATGCTGCATGATGATATTGTGGTGTTATTTTTCAAGACATATTTTTACTCAGTTCAGAAAAACCTTGAGGCTGTTTCAGTGCAACGAGCCCTCTTGTTTCTCTTCAAAGCCTGACTGTGGAGGAAGTACTCGGGTGGGCCCAGTCGTTTGAAAAGCTGATGGCTACAAAACGTGAGTATGATGCGCGTGTCGTCTTTGACTCGCTAGTCGGCTTCATGCTTTGGGGAAAGAGGACCCAGGGTGGTGACAGTGGGCCCCCTTCTCACTGCCTCCGAAGTGGCAACTGCCACAGCTAAAAAAGGAAAACCTGAAAATAGCCTGTTGTGTCAGCCACCGTGATTGTCTTTGGTGTTAATTCAAACCAGATTAGTCACTGTGAATATTTATTCTTCACAAGTCTATGTGTAAAAGCCCTTGGAAAAATGCTTAAATAGTCACATGTACTAAAATATACTGCCTTACCGTAGCCAGCTAGAATACTTTTTAAGTTTGATTTTTTTTTAATTAACAATTTGATTTTCTCAGTGCCTTCAAAAGTGAGAATAAATTTGAGTCTCGATGTTCGGAGAGTCCTCAAAGTTTGTTTCTAACTTGATCAGTGTCTCCTTTAAGTAAGCCTTAGTTGTGTATAAGTATCAACATTCAGACTATAAACGAAGATACCAGCAATGGATGTGAGGGCAATGAAGTCATGGGCTCAATACAAAGAAATATGAAGGGCTGTGTGCATCCACGTGGGTGGTCAGTCACGTCTGAGGTAGGAAACTGGGAGTATAAAGAGATAACTACCCAGAAACGGAACAGAAACAGCAGGGCATGTAGCACAGATCTTGTGTGTGTGTGTGTGTGTGTGAGAGTCAAGGGGTGAGGAGCGATGGGGAGGGGTGAGGAGCGATGGGGAGAGGTGAGAGCAGGCTCCATGGAGTAGGGCCCTTCCCAAGGGCCGGTTGTGAGCTGGGACCTACCAATGTGAATCACTGGAACATGATAAGGAAGTCTGATGGGCAGTATTTTAAAGACAGGAAACTGTTGGCGAAGAGGTAAGCACAGCGAAGATAAATGAGCGCCCCTTTCAGTGAAGATAGTGTAGAGCTCCTCTAGGATCTGGTGTTAAAAACTGGCCTCATTAAAAAAAAAAAAAAAAAAAAAAATCCCCACAATGATTTCAGCAGAAAGTACCCTGCAAAATTTTTAAGTCTACAGATGACAGGAAGTACTCCAAGTTTCCAGACATCAAAGTTTGCAGGACAGTAATTATTTTCAAATGGATGTAAAAGTCATAGTGAGGTTTTTAATGAATCAGGGGAAAAAAATGTATCTGAGCTATTAGTCATCTCTTCATAAAAATACATGAGAATACCTAAAAATTTTCCTGGATTGATGGTGACCCATAACAGAGCAGAGTACCCCAAAACGTTGTCAAAGTATTAGGCATCCACCAAGGAGAAACATGGAAAAAGAAATCGTGTGGACATTTGAGATGGCTAAGGCTGTTAGAACTAGAAAAGGCACAGAGCCATGCCTTTAAAATGACAAGGGGACCAACAGTCACCTAAAACCCAAGGGTTCTTCCTACTGAGAAGGTCAAGACTGAAAAATAATCAAAATCCATATCTATAATGTCAGAATGAAAATACAGAAAACCCATACATATATTGATTGGCCAATTCTCAAAAAATGAGAAGAGAGGCTGTCCGCTGAGATCTGAGCAAAGTATGTTTAATAGAAACAACAAGAAGGTTAGTAGCTCATGCCCCTGGATGACTCACTCAGTCCAGCCCTGGGTCTGGAAGACCTCCCCAACACTGGGACACTGGGGTGAGCCAGGCCAAGCTTACTGTGCTCAGCTCAGGTGCTCCCTCTAGAGGGAGGAGGCAGACAACGAAGCAAATGAATTCACTGATCAATTAACTCTGGAAAGCGGCAAGGGCTTTGAAGAAGGTAAAGCCAGGCAACAGGACAAAGACAGGCAAGTGTTAAGAGGCCAATCGATGATTAGAGAATGCTCAGAAAGGACAAAATCTGAGCTAAGAGCTGAATGATGAGATGCAGCCATGCTGGGACAGGGGGTTAGAGGCCCAAGCGGAGGAGAGCCATGTTCAAAAAGCCCTGAGATATGAGTGAGGTTAGTATTTTCAAATAACCAACAGAAGGCCAGGAGCTTATGGCCTTCTAAGGTGGTGTGAATGACCTTGGATTTAAGAGTAACAGGAGTCAATGTGCTTTCTTCACAAGACCCCTCTGGTCCTCTTCTAAAAAATAAAAGTAGAGACCAGTGAGAAGCCTGTTGCGATAAACCAGACAAAGCTGGACTCTGTGGAAAAGACAAAGCTCGATGCGATTAGCCTATGGACCCTCATCAACACCAGGGGCTCCGAGGTCACTAAGAGGGAGAGTTCTGAGGGCAGGGAACAGAGACGCAGCGCAGGTACGTGCTCATATTTCCAAATTCAGAGAAGAGGGACAGTCAGCGAAGGAGACAGAAAAAGGCTCCAGGTGACTTACAGATGACCCAAACAGTGTGTGACCACAGAAGGCAAAGAGAGCATTTCGGGAGGGGAGCTGTGAGCTGTGTCAGAAGCTGCTAAGATGGCATGTTAGATGAAGGAAGAACTGTGACAATGGATTTGGCCACATGGAAGTCAACGGTGCCTGGACAAGAGCAGTCTCAGGAGCACGGTCGAGGTGGCCAGGACAGGAAGCGAGGCAGATGGCCTGGGGTGTTATTGACCCCAGTTTTGCTGTGAAGGTCAGCAAGGGAGGCCTATCACCTGGATGGGACTATGAGGTCAGAAGTGGGAGGACAGGCATAGCTGTTACTGGTTTTATTGGGAAATATGGCTGCATGTTGGCAGATGATGGCAACCAGGAGAGAGGAAGAAACTGATGACATAGGAGACGGTGGGAGCAATCCTTTTTTCAATTTTTTTTAAATTTATTGATTTTAGAGAGAGAGAGGATGGGAGAGAGAAAGAGAGGGAGATACCGATTTGTTGTTCCACTTATCGCTGCATTGGTTGGTTGATTCTTGTACGCCCCTGACTGCGGACCAGACCTGCAACCTTGGTGTATCCAGCCGCCGTGCTGACCAGCTGAGCTACCTGGCTATGGCAAGAGCAGGGACAACACTAAGAGCAATGCCACAGAGAAAGGGAAATTAGGTGACAGTCAAAAAAGAACTGTTTGGCCACCCAAAGAGGGACAAGGATCCTTCCTTCTTGGGAGGAAAGTTAGGAAGGGCAGGTCCCAGGGGCCAGTGGACGAAAGTTGGTGCCTTCGGCTGAGGGAGAGCAGGGAACCTCCGCCTGACTGAATGAGTGAAGCCTGAGGCAAGAGCCGTCAGCAGAGAGGGGCAGGGAGGATGCACTGGCCTTTTAAGAAGGGAGGAGACGCGAGCAGCTCCTGAAGATTTGGAGAGCTGGGCCACGTTAGGAGAGGCCGCAGGACGCCCGGGGGACGGGGCGTGCCCACTGCAACCCCGCGGGGACGCCTCCCGGTGGCCTGTGTCGCGCGCTCCAGCACGACCGGTCGGGAGCCGCCCTGGATACACGCGTGCTCCGTATCACACAGACTTGACAGCCACCTTTCATTTTGGCCAAAATCAGCCTTGGACGTGCCGCATCCTTCCCTCTCCGTCCGTCGCCACAGTCGCCTGCAGACGCCTCGGCCATGCCCGGCCGAGCAGTGCCGGTCTGTCCCGTCGCTGAAGGCTGCCCACGCCGCCGCTGGCCCGGCCTCCTGCTCCTCTCGCGGCCCGGAGCGGACACGGGAAGGCGCGGGCCGTGCTGCTGGGCGGAGGCAGAGCCGCGGGGAGAGGGTCTGGGCGGCTGGGCGTGGGCAGGCAGCTTCGCGCCCCGCTTTCTGTCGCCGCCGTGGCCGTGGTTCCCTCCCCACCCGCGCACTCCGTCCAGTGGCGCCTCCGCTCTTCCCACTTAGCACCTCGGTCCCCGTTAATCCCGCGTGCCCTTGCTCGGCGTGCCGGGGACAAAACAGGGCAACAGCAAAACCTGGCCTTTCAGAGGCAGCTCTGTTCAGTTAGCGCATTTTCCGTCTTGTTCTCAGAAAACCAACACGTAACAACCCGCCGCGCGCAACCCTCCAGTCGGTGCGGCGTCCTGGACGCCGACCGCGCCGGCCTCGCTTTTCGGAGCCGATGGGAGCCCCTTCGCGACGCAGGAGCACGAGGGGCCCCGGAGCCGGGCCTGGCCCCGCTCGGCTGTTCGGCGCCTGCGGTCCCTCCGGCAGCGCGCGGCCCCGGGCGCCTGGGGGTGACGCCGGGCGTCCTGACCCTCGAGGGGCTCCGGCTGGGGGGACAGGCGCAGAGTGATCGAGGAAGGGGGCGACTGTGAGAGACACTGAGACCCCGTTAAAGGAAATACGAACGAGGCGCTAGTTGTCGGCGGACAGGAATGCGGCTGGTTCAGGGAAATCTTTCCAGAAACGGGAAACCTAAGCTCAGTCGTAGGTCCAGATACAAAGCCTGCGGCACAGAAGGGGCTCGGCTGCAACCGCGGGGCCAGCGCGCTGCCGGGCCGGGAACAGGGCGACCCCGACGCGGACGGCGCCTGGGGGTGACTCGAGGCCGAGGGGGCAGCCCTGTACCCGCGGGCTCTGCAGCCGCTCGCCAGCGGCCGGCTGTCCGCTCGGGGTGATGAGGACAGGTGCCGGGGCTGTGAATAAGGTGTCCTGGCCAGGTTCCTGTCTGGGAGGTTTTTGTCTAATAAAAGTACAGAAAAGATGAAAAGCAGGGTCAGATAGATGAACTGAGGTGTTTTTCAGATTCGATAGTTTACAAATATTTCCCAAAAATCATATACGAAAAGAACGTGTAAAAAGAGAACAGAAGGTAACACTATAAATGTAACAGACAGAGTCTTGTGTACATAAAGAGATCTGAAAATTCAAGAATCTACTAACAAAGAAAGAGGAAAATGAACAAAAAATTGAAATTCACAGAAAGAAAAGAAATGGTCAGTAAAAAGAAAACTGTTTCAACACTGCTATTTTAAAAATACAGATTGTAAAGGATGCAGTGAGCAGACACTCTGACACTATAATAGAAAATAACGAGATCGTTCCAGAAACGAGTTTACAATAGGTATCAAGAGTCTCCAAAAATATTACATTGTCAATCTAGCAATCTACCCCTTTAAATTTATCCTAAGGAAATAATTAGAGATGAAAAGATTTATAAACCAAAACGTTCAATGTAAGATAATCTGTACCATGAAAAGGACAAACGATCTAGTCAGTAACAGTAGGATAGCTCAGTAAATTAGAGCTTAGCCCTGCAACAGGCTTGGGAGGTAATAGGAAAAAGCGCTTCCTTTTCACTACATGATATTAAGTATGTAAGAGTGATAAAAGCTGCTCTCACAGTGTAATGTCAATAAGGTCATTTGCATGTATCTATGTTTGTGCAGATAAATTAATACTAGTAAGGAGGCAGTTAAAGACAGACAAAGGATTCCTAGAATAAAAGGAAATATTAGAAATTGCTAATAATCAGAAGCTTTCTGTATTTAAAAACAACCCATAATACTTTAAGCTTCATTTAATTAAACTAGAGAAAAGAGACTTTGGGGGGAACCAGGAATGATTAGCATCATAGAGGCCAAGCCAGAGAACTTCAATAGAACAGAAGATTCACTTCGAAACCTCACGCAGAGGCTGGTCGAGTTACAGAATGCATTGCCCCTCGTGGCCCAGATGGGAAATAAAATGGAATTGGATTGTTTTAGACGCATTTCCGATGGAAGACTGAGGCACAGCCCATCTTTAGGACCGAATGGCAGGGCGGGCTCGGCTGCCTGGCACCCCTAAAATAATAGTGGGCCTTTGTTCTGACTCAGCCATAGCAATGCCACGCTTTCCTCTGGCTCTGAGATACCGGCATGTGTCATAGGAACATTAATTTCAGTGACCAGTTTAAAAAGAATACGCAAGAGAACCCGCACGGCAGCCCTCTCATATCAGAGAAAAGGGCTACACTGTCTGTGACGTAGACCTAGCTCTTCCGTCTCCGCACCCTCATGACCAGTTCTGCTGTCATCCACTCACTCTGCCCAGGCCGAGCCACTGCCGCTGGGGCACGATGTCGCGGAGGGAGTCCCGCTGAAAACGGTAGGATGGGCTTCATTGCCTGGTTTGAAAAAGGCTTTTTTAAATGTCCTACCTTGTAACTCACTTGTGTGAGTCAATAGCGAGTCTAGACTGAGCAATTCAGTTCTGACTTCAATCATCACTTAGATTCCGGGAACACTTTTGTACATACGTGTTTTCAGCTGCTAATTTGGCTTACGTATAAACATCAGTCTAATGAAGACAGTGTTCTGTAAAACATACCATTCATGTGAGCACTGATTCTACGCACTGGAACCATGTCTGAAACACCAGACAGGTCCCGGTGGTCCGGATCAGCGTTCACGAGGTTATGATGCAATAACACACACTATCAGCATCCTGGTAATTGGCAGGCAGCTTCTGGAATGAACATCTCTAAACATTTTCCTATACAATCAAGCAAAACATGACTATAAACACAAATTCAGAAGAGCATGTCATTAGTTTCCAAATTATCTCCCTGCCCACACCCCCCTGACCACTCAGGCCAGCCAAGTCGCCTGGCGGTTAAGTCTCATTCCAGGGCCTGTAGATTTTATCTGGTGTCTTATTTTTTTCCTGTTTCATAGCTCATTTCTTTACTTTAGGATCCTTGTTTTCTGTTTCCGATGAAGCACTCAGTCAAAATTCCTCTGAGTACAAAATAAATCAAATTGCTTTTTATTTTCTTAAACAGAACTCTGCTTCTTCCTGTGAACAGGGCAAATCACTGGCTCCCAGTGATTTGAAGCCGGAAATGCTTTGCCCGCCCAGCCAGCTGCCTCTCCGCCCGGAGAGCCAACCGCTCCCTCTGGGCCCTCCCGCAGGCTCTCTGGGCCTGGGCTGAGGGGCAGCAGGGCCCAGAGGCACTTCGGTAGGGAAATGAACTCCCCGCTGGAAACCTAAGTTAAAATGCATCCCCCCCACTGGGTAAAAATATTGACTCCACTCCATTTTCAAGGGTGCATTTTTATTCACGATCTACCCCCACCGCATCTGTCCTCTCAACTCAAGTGATGGTGCTTTTGAACCATCTGCTACTGTGTCACAAAGGCTCTACTTGTGCAGGTAAAATGCTCTAATTTGGGGTGTTCCAAGGATGGGACATTTCTTGCAGATTGCCAGCATTCCCCAACCCTAATGCCCCCTTTGAAGGGATCTGCCTCTATGAGTTTTTCTCTTGGATAACCTTAATTGTTATCTTTATTTTTCTTTCACTGCTAACAGAGCCAGCAGAAGCCACAGAGTCTAATGTTAGGACACTAACCTCTTATGTTAAGAACTAGGCGAATAAGATTTTACTCACTGTTGCCATTCCATCTGATTACCATTATTTCTTGTCACGTCGGTGATACTAAATCATAACATTTCTTCATCAGAATCTATGCTCAGTCACCTGTCCAATGTGCCTATACACACATTTCTATTACTATCAATCAAAAGTTAGGTTGATTCATCATTTAGCAATTCAGTTTCTCAGAAATTCCAGATGTCCTCACCACCAAAAGAAGCTGACTATTCATCTCAGAGGGTTCATCTTGAATCTTGAGAAGACTTGGTCCTCCCGAAGATTCTACTCCTGTGTTACATTTGTCTGAGCTGCCTCACTCTCTTCTTCAATCTCTCACTCCTACAAAATAGAGCCTCCAACGGGACGGCTCCTCTCACGTGCTGCCCTCATCTCCCTGTTCCAGAAAGGCTGTTTTAGACCAGAGCTGAGGAAGCCCGTCTCTGGCATCAAGTGTCACTGTCCCGGTTCTGTCGCACCCACCCGCTGTCCTGTTCTGGATTCCGAGATGGTCTTCAATACTCCCTTCCAATTCCATTCTCTCCCTGGTCCTTCATTTCCTACTAAGCCAAGAAATGAAGCTGAATTTTTCATCTATCCACATTCTCTTGCTCTCACTGGATACTGAGAACCACCACAGGCTGTACGAGCTGATCGATCGGTCACGTCAGCATGGATGGGTTATTTTCCTTTCAACCTTGCTCTTACCTTCCATTAGTGTAAGGTCTTAGATCTTTCATGTCAGTTTCATGATCAGGCCTCTATCCACTGATCTGACACTAAGTCCTGGTTCCGGTCCTTGTGTCCTCTCCCATCCTAGACCCACACACACTAGTGGATGTGTTTCTCTGAGTGACTCAGAGTAAAGGAATAAGGGGTGACCACGCCATTGGCTGGCATCGTCAAAGCCCAGGTGGACCGACCTGACGGTGGCATGGTGTGTGTGTGATAGAACAGCCACTGGTTAAATAATTTGGGAGCTCTGATTTATACTTCATTTTTAAACTGTGTTACATATTTCTCAGAGTTTTTAATGATTTTGACCCATGAAAACAAACTGATTTCTCCATTACTTTTAGATGGTCCAGTAGCCTATGCAGCATACCTAAAAATGGAGCACAGCGAAGAGAACATCAAATTCTGGATGGCCTGTGAAACCTATAAGAAAATTGCCTCACGATGGAGCAGAGTTTCTCAGGCAAAGAAGCTTTATAGGATTTACATCCAGCCACAGTCCCCTCGAGAGGTAACTGCCCACACCCGTCAGGCACAACACGTGCCGGGCACTTTGCAGCTGGTGCCTTCTGTAATGCTATACAGTCAGTATTGTCCGTCTTATTTTATAGCCAAGAACGCTGAAAACCAGAAGTTGCTAACTAACTGCTCAGGGGGATGCAGCAGTTAGGCGGGAAAGTTAGGATTCCAAGTTAGGTCCATGTAGCTCCAAAGGCTCTCCTTACTAAGTGATTTTAATTCATAGAAAAGTTATTTAGAAAGGAGAATTGGCCTTGCTGGAAGGAACTACAGGTACCCAGGTGAAGGTTGTTTCTCCACACCAGTGGTCCCGGCTCACTTGAGTCGAAAACCAGCAAAGCCAGCAGACGTTCATATTGATGTCACCGCCCAATTGTTTAAAAATGCACGAAGAAAATGGAGTCCTGCATCAAATAGACACACTGAGCCTCCTCCAGGCAGAGGGAGAAAGAGGAATGGACATTCCTGTCCAGGGGGTAAGGGCAGAGGATGGCACGTGAGATTCCTATCACTCAGGACAGCCCTGCCTTATTGATTGTCCTCAAAACTCTTGCCTGGAAAACATTTGTTTTACTGAAATGATCACTTCCCTGCTTCTCCCCTCCTCTTCACCTTCTTCCCATTTCAGGGCATATTCAGTTAAATCACCATGGATGGCTGTTAAGGAAGATCAAGTTTAAAATAGCACCAACTTCCCTTTTTTTCCTTAGAAAAGACCTCTATCCCATAAACTTCGTTGTTTGTAGTCTCCCCCGACAAACCCACTGGCAACTTCCTAAGTAAGCAATAGTTCCTGCAAGTTGCTGGCTCTTGGGCCTCATGTTATTTTTATCTAGGATGTGGAGGTGGATGTTTACTTTTAAAGAAGTAAAGTGTTTATCTCTTATGCCTTCTTAGATACCTATAAAACTGCAAACAAAATAACCCTATTCCACTGAACAGGATGGCGGCGGGGAGGGGGGCGACTAAACTAAACCCTTCCATTTTGTTGTTGTCTTCAATTCTGCCTACTGATGTGATTTTACTTTTCAGATTAACATTGACAGCTCGACAAGGGAAACCATCCTCAGGAATATTCAAGAACCCACTCAAACGTGTTTTGAAGTGGCTCAAAGAATAGTGTACATGCACATGGAGAGAGACTCCTATCCCAGGTTTTTAAAGTCAGAAATGTACCAGAAACTTCTGAAGGCTGTTCAGCCCAGTAACAATTCCTGACGACCACTCAAAAGCTTACAGGGAAGACAGTATATTGAAAATATTGGCTTTGTTGTTTTCATTTTTTTTAATCAAAAACAGAGTAGGAATAAAGTACAAGGAATCAAACCATAAATTGAGTTCTGCTTCCCAAAGAGAAACAGGTCCCAAAGGGGACAGACTCTAAAACTCTGGCCGCACGGATAACACAAGCTGCAGCTCGCAGACGCCGCGCTCAGCTGACGCGCATGAGGGAGGATGCTTTCTTCCCGACACCAGTACCACAACATTGTTCCTGCCGTGGCCAACTAACGGATGCTTTCTTATTAATGAAATTTCACTGTCACGGTGTAGAGATTAGTCCTTTAGAAGCTGTCGCTATATGAGTGGTGTCTCTAGCATGAATGTAATCTATAGGGTGCTCGTAATAATGTGAATTAGTAGACAAAGTCAGTACCCACCGTACAGTCAATTGTGTTATATTATGAGCAATTTCATAAAGATAGGTTCTTAAAATAACAAAACAAAAAAATGGATTCTTAAGAAATGTTTTACCTGTAAAATTTCCCTGCTATTATGTATAACTGAGCTTCTATGTTATATTTATCTTCAACATGTGAAAAATGTCTGATGATTCTAAGCTGTTAAAAATGTATTGATTTCTTCATTCAGTTCTATATTTTTATCAGTGTAAGGGTAGAAAATTTGGTTCCCATACTTTGAGTTTTTTTTCCTCACAATGTGAATTCATTGTGGTCCTAATAATGAATAAATCCAAATAGAAATTTAAAAACTTATAAATGTGGGTTTTTTAAAGACACAATAAAGTTATTTTTCCAGTAAAAGACTTTTTAATCTGTCTTGTTATAGCAGCTTCTCAGAATTTGTCAGAGATTCCATAGCAGAGAACTCATGTCTGTTTCAATTTGTTCAGCACAAAGCATAGGAAAAATATTCCATACAAATGGACAGTCTGTTTCTAATGAAGAATAAAATACCTAAAATATTTAATGTCATTCTTCCAAAATATTTAACTGTAGGAAAATTTGGTTCAGGATCTTTAGCCTTACCATGACAAGTACCTCTTAGGTCTCAAATTTGACTGAAATAGAATTACTATTGTACAATGCCTCGAAGCCCAAGCTGTAGCACATGACAACACATATTAGCTGAAATTCTTCTCATGAAGCAGAGGATCATTTTAACACTGAATAAATATTTGGGGTTCGTTTCTGAGAAAGGGAATTAGCTAGGCAAGAGAATACTTTCATTTAAAAGGCATCTGATTGGTTTATGGGAACTCTAGTTAGTTGCAGAAGGTGTTACCATGGTAGCCCAAGTTTATCTAACTTACTGAATTTTATTTATTTTCTCTTTAAAATACCAATATAAGAATACAGATTGAAGTCCTAATATCCGAACTTAATGACTTTCCCTAGCAACAATGAGCAAGAAAAAAAAATGCTTCCCCATGTTTCAAATAGTCTCCTCATCTCTATCAGCTGATGAGTATATTTATAGGCAAGTAGGAAAGGTTATGTGTACATGGACATAATACACGTGGCCTGAGCATTTTATGAACACCTGGGGCCCTTCTCATTCAAACAGCAACAAATCAACCAAACACTGATAGAGCTAATAAGTGGGGCTTATTAATTGATAATGAATGATAGGATAACCAGCTTTCCTTACTATCTATTTATCCCCTTGACTCTGTCTAGAACATTGTTTTGCGTATGTGCTGATTTTACCTCCAAATGCAGTCCCTCTGCTTGGCTCACATAGGACCTTCCCTGCATGTTGGGTAAACAAGGGGCCACACTGTGATGTATAAAACAAAGAGCTGAGGGCTGAGAGACAGAGCCATTGGGTTAGTGCCTGTCCACTCACCTGATGCCCTTGTTCCTTTGGTCCCAGGAGCATGCAGCTTCCCCATCTGTGAAATAAGGGGGTAGGACTAGTTGACTGTGGGAGTCACATGCAGTGTTTTATTACATGCCATTACTAATGTAGTCATCATTTTCTTCAAGCTTGGGCTCATTCTGAAGAGTAATTCCTTCGAAAATGGATGTTATCATGATGAAGTGGACAATGAACTATTAGTTTTGCATTTAACACTGGTTCAGGGAGTTCTGAAGTGTCTGAAGAACAGAGAATTTTAACTCAAAGAGCTACCTGTTCAAGAATTCTACCTGATGTGATGTTTCACATCACTGGCAGTTAAGCTGGTTTTCCATCATTTTAACTTAATGATAGTCTGAATCCTGTTTATTTTTCATAGGATATTTTAAACTAATATTTTATTATAACAATTCAAAAACTGATTAATATTTATTAAATGGCTACAAGGATATGTCCACATTTTACATACTTGTTTTATCTTCAGTACTTTGAGATTAATGCATCAAAAATATTAGATTTATGCTCTCATAACCTGTATGTATTCATGATTTCCTTCTATTTTTTAGATAGACATCTTCGAACTCTGGAGATGTACAAGATAAGCCATCATTGCCTCTGCATAGAAACAGTCTCATCTTCAACAGGAGAGAGGAAAGATTTGCACAGCTCAGATCCAGTGTCTTGGCAGAGAGGAACACTTTCCTACTTGTAATTCATCAGTCACACCACCATTTTATGAGCTGCAAAGGGCTTTCTATAGTAATTCTGGAGGAATGGTTACAGAGAAGACATATACAAAGCTTTCTTCAAAGGCATAATAGGGTGTGATTTGAAGGAAATCATAAGATCCCACTGTTCAAAAGTATCTTCAACTCTCAAGCCTGAATTTCCCATCACTGGCCATAGAAGACAAAACATCTGAATTCAGGTTTGAAGTGAGGTTGTCCCAACCCAACCCATGCTAACACCTCACCTGCTGCTGAGCAGGAAGCAAGGCTTGGGAAAGTAGAATGCAGGCTTATAGGAAAGCAGGCTGAGAGAGCAACGATATCAGGGTAACGGGGAGCCACCAGACACCAAACAGGATGCGGGGTTTGGGGGACAAATGCACACAAATTTCTTATGAAAACCTCCCCACGCTGTTAATAATAGAAAGCCAAAGGGGAGGGGGCACTAGTTTAAAAAGAAGGTATTCCAAGTTGCAAATTCTTCATTTTAGTAGGAAAAAATGAATAGCATTCCTATAAAAATAAAACAGCAAGTATTCAATTCCTCAACAAACAGTATTGATAAAGGAGTTCCTTTAAAAAAATCTACCCAGATCTTCCTGAGTGCAGATACTCTACGCATAAATGTTAACTGGGTAAGTTTCTGCTCTTCGGGACACGTGAGCATATCGTTAAAGGACAGAAGAGCAGCGGCGAGGCTGACAGTGACCGTGCGCCGTGCAAGCCCAGCCGAGGCGTCAACCCCTGCCCAGCGGAACCGGGAACGCGCAGAAGGCGTGAGGTTTAAGGTAACCGTTGAAGAATAAGGAAGAGCTCATTCAGATAAAAGGGGGAAGGCAGTGCGGACTGGAACCAGGGCTACAGACGAGAGACCGCGTGGGGATTAGGGAGACTTAAAAGACGGTGGAGGCTCTAGACTTAGATCTAAGTTCTAACCTTGATTCCAATGATTGGCAGCTTTGAGAATTTAAGAAATTGCTTAACCTCTCTGAACTTTGTCCTTTCTTCATCTGTAAAATAACAACAATAACACTTATAACATCTGCTTCATGGGTTCTTGCATATTTAAATATTTAAGTTCGTTTAAAGTCCTGATACTACGTTCAATAAAATTTAATCGTATTACTAGTTGCCGTAAGAGTCCAAATGAGGGGTGATGATAGTTTGACGTAGGCAAATGAGGAAAGAGAGCCGTTTCTGAGGGAGAAACCATGAACTGATCAGATGTGAGAAACGAGGGAGGGATCAAGGCTGATCCACAGGCTGTACTCTGAGTGCTGGTACAGATGCTGTTGTAGCCGAGGAGGATGGGCAGAGTGCGGGGCGAGCTGCGTGTGAGGCCCCGCATGCCCCAGGTGGAACTTCGGGGACAGAAAGAGGGCAGACGTGTGCCCTGGGAACCAGCAGCACAGCGGAGTCAGGGGCCAGAGCAGATACGCAAGGGGAATGGTGCGGAACAGGGAGTAGAAACCTGAAGAACCAATCAAACCTTAGGGTAAAAAAAATACCACATTTATGACTCACATTCTCATCGGAAGACCATCGTGACGTTTATAGTAATGACAATGATCATTTCTTTGGGTTTGCTTTATAGTGGATATTGTGCTCAGTGTCTGGATACATTATTCACTTATTCAGCAGAATTTATTGAGCATCTACTATATGCCAACCTGGTTCTGAGAGATAGAGGATCACCAACAAACCATGCGGAAACCATGGCCACCCTTGTGGAGCTTACATTGCCTTTGTGTAATAAAAAAGTAATCAAATCAAAACACCACATCAGACTATGGTAAGAGCTATAAAAAAGGAAAACCAAATAATATGTTCCTCCCTTATGACTACCCAAATCAAGAGTGAGGAATCTAAGACTTGGAGAAGTTAAGTAACTCTCTGTGCCTCTCATCTAGAACCAATATGTTTCCAAGTCTAATCCTTCAACCATTGTTAAGTACAGCCTCTTACGAACAAGCTAAATGGGAAGTAAATGTACAATGATCTAATATACAAAAACATGCATTCAAATTTATAATGCCATTAACCATACAAACCTTTTTACTATGGAAGGTCTCTACCATAGCTATTTCTATTTGCTGCTTCTAACACATTCACACAGATGGGTTAACACCTTGACACTTCGGTCTCTGCTGGAAAGAATTACCTGACATAATGATGCCCAGGTTCCACTAATAAATGAAACATCTTCCCTTTTACTAGCAAAGATGATGTTTAAGCCAGGAATTTAAGCACACCTATTAGACAGTCAGTACATACAGGACTGTGCAAAAGAAGGCTTACAGTTGTTTGTATGGCAGATACTATAATCATTAATAAATAATAATACAAGAATAAGCCCTGTTTGCTCTCCTCACAACTGCAAACCCACTTGTG